AAGGGCGTTATAAAGTGGAAGCCAACACTATTCGTTTGTAAAAGAGTAGCCCAAGAGTTGGCGGTGGGTGAGGTTGACCAGTTCACTCTTTCGAGTCTATCACTGCTAAATTAGGAATGGCTAGCGCTAGCCCTCGAGTAGCTTTGCACAAAATTCAAACGAAACCAGTATGAGTACGTGAAGTTTATGCAAGTTCAAAATTAGGTACAGCTAACGCATCTGCCTCGTGTAGCTTTGCGTAAAATCCAACAAGCATAACGTACATTATTTTAAACTTACATACACATGTATTTAGTTCAAAAACTATGAGAATAAAACGGGTAAAAACATTATTGAGGCATTACTAAGCGCTTTCTTGTTAGTTTATAAGAAAACCATGAACGTACCACGTATTGAATGGATTTGTATAATATATAGCTTATATAGCCAATCATCCATTATTTTCAAATCACATTACGTCTCAGTTCTGCTAAACAAGCATTTTTATTGAGGTAATGACACACATCTTTAACAGATGCCGCCACCTACGCATGGTAAAAACGAAAATCAGAATTTGTAATTCCAATCGGAACGTCACCCTATATGCACCTTTGGTAAACGTCCCTAATTTTGAAATGCAGACCAGAGAGAAGGCAGTCAGCTAGCGGCATTTTCCATCTGTCTGTGAATCGAATAACGAATTGATAATCACGTACCCAAAGCCGAAAAGTGCTGAGCGTGTTCATCAGCATCACGACTTAAACCGTGGGCCCTTCGATAAGCAGCCTGACACATGAACCACGAGGTCGAACCCGATCCCGTTATGCAAATTAAAGTAAACATCACGTATAATGACTCACCATACAAGAAAAATATTTACAAATTGCGAATCATGATAAGATCAACTAATGTCCAAGGTGAATCACCACGTTACTCACTACTGTAGTTTTAAAAAGGCCATAACTACGTGTCTTATCACCCAGTATAAGCCAGGATGCTCCTGTTGTAGCACACACATAATTTTAAATTGAAACTGATTGTTTTAGATTAAAAGCTTTTTTGATTTCGTCTTTTGATGAAAGAAGTTACTGGTGAGTTTATTAAAACAATAAAGTATCATTTTTTTAAAATAGCTTCTTCAGTCCTTTGGGTAGTTTTTGGATGTAGCGTGCTGACCTGTAGAGCTGAGGCTCCATGATTTTCTTCCTGCCATCGCAAAAACTTAATAATAATTGTACTTCTAACTTTAAGTCCTCGAGGGTGCATTAAAAAAGTGGCGGTCAAATCCCACTATTCGATCTGACAAGAATAGCCCAAAAGTTGGTGGTGGGTGGTGTTGACTAGCTGTCTTCCTTCTGTTGTATCTGGCCCGGCATGGCCAGGTGGTTAGGGCACTCGACTCGCAATCTGCAGGTCGCGGGTTCGAATCCCCGTCACACCAAACGTGCTCGCCCTTTCAGCCGTAGGGGCGTTATAATATAACGGTCAATCCCACTATTCGTTGGTAAAAGAGTAGCCCAAGAGTTGGCGGTGGGTGGTGATGACTAGCTGCCTTCCCTCTAGTCTTACACTGCTAAATTAGGGACGGCTAGCGCAGATAGCCCTCGTGTAGCTTTGCGCGAAATTCAAAAAACAACCAACAACAACCTGATGTATCACTTCAAAATTAGGAGCAGATAGGCCTCCTGTAGCTATGCGCTAAATCCAGCAAAATAAACAAACAATTCATCGATCTAGTTGGGCTGATGAGAAGTGATAACATTATTTTTAAACTCCAGTTCTCAGCTGGTCATGATATGGGTTTTATTTCTTATTGTGACCCTGTTTTGTGATTCACCTCGTCCAACAACGTTTTGTTACTCTGATAACAGAAAGTTACTATTTATACTCCGACGTATTCTTTTTTTATATTGATAAGTTTTCATTTGTTCAATAACGCCATATTTCTACGATATTGAGAGAACTTTTTATCTACATTATGTTGTTTCTGTTATAGTGCCCCACATCCCAGTGGCTTAGCAGTATGTCTGAAAGCCTATAACACCAAAAACTGAATTTCGATACTCGTAGTGTGTACAACACGGATAGTCCGTTGTGTAGCTTTGTGCTTAACAACAAATAAACACGTTTTTATAGTGTTGAGAAAAGAAGCCGTTTTGTAAAGTAATGCAACCGTGTTTGTGTATTAACAGAACTTGCCATTTTTGCCTTCTACACTGCACAATTTAAAAAGTCTCCTTCAAAGAACCTGGAGTTGAGGTATTCTAGAGGGTCATTTTACATTTGATTTTAAGTTTTGTATAAATTTTGTATATTAAAGTGATACTAACAGACAGGGTAATTATTATTTTGCATATGCAATGTTAGCTTTATCCATTTACGAGAAGGTTATGGTTTCGGTAATTTTGAGTTTGTTGATGTTTCTGAAGTAATTGTGCAGAGTTATTAGAGAAATGATGGAGATCGGATGGACAAAAGCATCAAACTTTTTTTTGGTGACAATATTAGTCGTAAGTTTTG